AAGTTCGCAAACTCGCGCTACTTTTTTTTTTATATATATATATATAGTGTAAATTACGAGGTCAGTTAATAAGCTCGCGCACATTTGGGTTACTAATTGAATTACAAGTCGTTTCACTCTACTTTCTTTCGTCATGTTAGTACAACGTATTTGACATAAACCGCGTCCCAAATGTTGAATATCGGTGGAAAATAATTCAGTACAAACAATATGTTCTCTAACTTGTATTTGTCTCCATTGAGATTTGCGTAAATCGCATTCTGAACGAATAAGGGATGACTAGACTGCGAAGTTTATGCATTTATGTATAAGCGTTTAGTATTTATGTACAAGGCGTGCAATAATAATGGAAGGCACACTAAAAATATACGTAATGTATGTTGAATATATTTTACAATTAATATAATAATATTGTTGCATCGTTTTGCATAAGTGTACATCACTTTTGGTTATATTTAGTATATATTTGTTCTATTAGCTTGTATCATAAATGCATAAAATACGCAGTCTACTTATAAATGTATTCCAGGACGTTTTCAAAGATGTACTCCGACGTTTTTAAAAATTTGTAATGTAATATCCGTTTCTTTCGCGACGTATATTTTTAAATTTCGTACGCTCGACGCCGATATAATGTGTATTCCAAGTGTTCGATCTCGGAAGTCCGAATGATGGGTCTTTTATGTTCATTAACCCTCCGCAGCGGTGTCACCGTACCAGCGCGGTTAACGATGCCTGTGCCAGAAAGAGTGCCGCTATACGCTTACGTTCATTCAGAAAGTATCGCTTTGGTTGCATTCGTGCATTCAGACGAATAGACGCACGTAGCTCGTTATACCAGAAGTCAAAGACCTTGCACATCGTTGCCATGATGAAAACAAAAATAACGCAGGACATAACATCGACGGGGCCACGCGACTATGTGGCATTTTTTACCACTCCCGATCGTTGTATAAACAAACAAACTGTTGCCAACGTCTTTGCAAACACTTGCTGATAGGAAAGAAACAACAAGCATCGCGCGTGGGATACGTACCAGCGTGTTTCGTTTAAATCTTTCTTCTTTCATTCCATCTTCTATCCTTCTTCGACTTTAAAGCCTCGCATTACAATAATTATATTATATTAGTATAATTATAATTATATTATACTATTATATTATAAATTAAAATATATAAGGTGACATTGAAAAAAATTAATTTGTTATTCAAATCTCTCCCGCTACTTTACTTACAACACAATTATTTGAATCATTTGAACCAAATAACTTTTGTTGAAAACATTTTTTGATAGCTTCATCCCCTCGCGAGAATATTTAACCATCTCGATTTAAACGAAACACCCTGTAGTAGTCTTATTAGCGATCGTTAGACGAGGCTGATAAAAGAAAAAGGAAAATGCTAATAATAGTCTGCGGATGCTTCGGCTACGTCGATAATTTTTAAAACTGTTATCGAAAGAGTATCGAAAATATTTTTGTAAAATGGATGTTTTCTTTCCCTGTTTCTTTTTTTTTTTCTTTAATTTTCAGAGGAATTGACAACTTCTCTTTACGGGATATTTTCAAACATTTTTCAGCGATGTGCGGTTATTTGTAAATATTGGTTATCTTGTGATATATTTAGAACCGACTTGCCCTTAAATAGTCATATACGGATCGCAGACACGACTGAATTTCATGCAATTTAAAACTCGACCTTGACCACGAGTACACAATAATTCTGTCACGACTTTAATCTTCAGCAAGATTGCGGTCCAGATTGAAAACGCGGAAATCAGATTATTTCTTTAGCTACGGCAAAATCGGCGAATTTTTAAAACAAAATTTATTGTTCGTTAAAATGCTGGAAATATATCGTTTTTACTTTGCATTATATTATTCTAATGAAGTATCATCATTTTAATCAGTAATTACTATATACTTTCCAAGAAACGTAAATATAGAAACACGATTTAAAAATTACTTTTTTGTCACAAGTAATAACATATTAAACTAAAATAAGTCAGAATAATAGAGCTACAGAAAAGATACCCATAAAAAAAATAATTCTTAGCATGAGTAACACTATCTGAATCATTCCATTCAAGTACAAATCCTTGTAACATATTCATTCTTCTTCGTCATAAAAATTCTCCGTTACACTTTTAACGCGTAAAACCACTACATACAGAATATTTAAAAATATTGGACGTGAATATTTTCTTTATTTTAATTTTTCTAAACAAAATACATATAACGAATATAATTTTTCTATTTTATTTCACCTAAAACAATTTGCGGAATGCGTTATAATACACACTCCAATTTTAGTTATCGTCAAAATAAACGACGCTTTGTGGAACACGCGGAAGAAAATGCATTCATGAATATACATAGATGTAAAAGGAACAAGGCTTCCTGTTAGCTGATGTCAGATTTTTCTGAGAACTGCGAACACAATACGATATCCCGAATAATATTAGCTGTTCGAATGATTGATGTGAACGGGGAAAATTCACAGTATAAAGTAGCACTCGAAACCTGGCCAATTGCCCAGCGAAATAGTACTGTCAACAATTTTCGGATACGTACAACATCATAATAAACACATTTCCTAACCTATAAAAGGTATTAGAACGGCACACGAGTCGGAACGAGGTCAAGGACCGCATTTTCATGACACGCGTTTAGTTTCCTTTATTTAAAACACTTGAAACTCTACAAATCGAAACACACTTTATCGGCACTTTTATTCGAGCATTGGAAATATAACCTTACGTTCATTTAAAAGTGTATCTACAGATTAAAGCAGTCGCTCGATGAGCGTATCTTATTGTTCGTGATATCCATTCACCTTACATACCTGGAATTCTTCCACCAGTCTTATGCATTAAATCCAGACCGCTTCTGCTTCGTTAGGAAATATGTAATTGCGTTAAACCCATTCCTCCGTCAATGCACGAATTGTTTCAGAAGATTACATAGCATAGATCCGGCTAACGTAAACGGAAACTTCATTAATGCGCACGAGTTATTTCTCTCCAAGCAAACACCAGGACCGATTTCGAAAAGTGCGGCAACCGACAGATCAATTATTCGAGTGAATTACTTTTAAATTGACTATTAGTATTAGAAATGTATCGATAGGCGACGGCACGAATTCGACGATACGATATCAGATACGACGGATAAACGTTACGAGTAGCGATAAGAGAGCCCAGCGACGATAGATGGACGTGGTCAATAAACAAATCAGAATTTTCAATGAATACGAAATAAATACGTGCTCCCCGTACACGCGTGCGATGGAATACAGCAGAATACAGTGAATCGCTTGGAATATAGCAGTAGGAGTAGCGTGCATTCGATATCAAGCCGCTATTTCGAGCGCTCTTCCAGTGGCGTAGCCGACTTGTGAAACTTGCTGGCGCGTAAACTCTCTTTCAAAGTTCTATCTACTTTTACATTTTCTGTCGACGGCTACCGCGATACGTCAAGTTTTATTGGTTCCATTGTCATCCTTGCTTTCTCTTTTTGTTTAACGGTATTATCAATTCGTTATTCACGCATTGTTTATCTTCTTCCGTGCGACGTTTCCGATCTGTCTCTCTTTTGAGTTCTGTCAAGATAGAATAATACGTTTTCACTAAATTCAACGCGAACAGCTTCAAAAATCCCTAGCGAATTAAGCATGGTTTTTTTTGTTAGAATTGATCATTAATTAATTTTTGTTTATTGCTTGTGGATGATGACTAAGGCTATGATATGTATTTGTATTAAACATCAGTACGATTCTTAAAGAGAATGTATTACTTTTATATTTTTCAAAGTACTTTACCTCAACATCTTTTTCTTTCTTAATAAATTCATGATATAACGTAATAATAAATAATATCTATAATACACAGAACATTCAAGTTGTGTTAAATTGCGATTATATTTTAAACATACTTATAAACTGTTTTACATACTTCTGATCTAATTATAAGTTTAATTACGAACGTTAAGAAAGGATCGCAGCTGGTTTACTATGCATTAACATGTTAATAGAGACGCTAAAACAGATTTGCCAGATCTGCAATTAAGATTAACGTTTTTAGAATAATTTACGTTTGCGTAGTATCAAGCAGAATTATATACGTGTAAATACGTTCTGTATATCGTGACTATAAACTTTTGAATCAAAAAATTAATTTCGAGTATACAAATCGATGCTACAGAATTGAATAAAATGAACGATATCCACATATATATTTTTGAATGAAAAAGATATATAAAATGTATGTACAGGCAGACGGTGAACCGCACATTCTGGGCGTTTAATAACAGTTAATAAATAATTATTGATCGCATTCGTTGAAGTCACATATACATTTTAATTATAACAATATAGGAGCGCAATAGTCTGACGTTCCTGATGGGCCTCCTTTCTGTACTTATCGTAAAGCAATATGTTAAAATGTATTTTGAATTTCACGTTAGTTTAACATTAAACTACACATATCTAATCTATATTTATTTTTTACATATTGATAAATCATATTGATTGCAATGTATAACAAACTACTTTATATGAACTAAATTGATTGTATGCTTTATTTTTTGTTTAAGATGAAATGCGCACCATACACTTACAATATACCTTTCTTGTGTGTGAACAGACCTTCATTTTGTATTTAGTTTAAAAGTATTAAAATTAGTTGTAAAATAAAAGTATAAACGTATATTATAACTATCTTTGGATATACATAGATTGAATACAGATAATATCAACATCTCTATGTCTTCTCATTAGATATCACTACTTGTGTTTCCAGTTATAATATGTACCTTTAGTGGTTATTTATTAAATCGATTAAAAACGCTTACTCGAATGTAAAAATTAGAAAAATGTCGCGTTAAGTTACACGTAATTAAAATGCTTTACTTTTACAGTATACTGTAATGAAAATATCAATGTCAATCATAATTAAGTAATTAAATAATAAGATTTTTTGGTTAGATAGGCCTCATAATAAAATTGATTTATATGTTTTATGTATTCGTCATTTCATACATTGATACATACATATACATGATGTCGCCTTAGGTAGTCAAATGAAAATCATATCTTTGATAAATCACTTCAATTTGTGTATTACCAACTATGATCCATTATTAAATTAAATCAGATTTCCATGATTAGTGCACAATACATACAATATACACGTGAACAAATACAAAACACCGAATGAAAGTGCCTATCCTTTCCCGCTTTATCAATATCCAATATGTTAACTTTTGACCCTCGTTTTTGACACATTATCAATAAAACTTAAATTATTCTGTTTGAATAAATAAGAATGAAATGTAGTATTAAGTTAATAAAGTAACATCTATTTATTTCTAATTATTTCTTGCGAATATTTAAACTGAAAGATTATCTATATATGTTAAAAAACTCGACTACTCGAATGCAATAAAGAGAAGTAAGTATTACTATGCTGCTATCTAAAATCAAATATAGAAACCATGTAACAAATAGTACTTAAAAAATTAAACTAACATCAGCAAGAATCTGTAAATTAAAATTTTATTAAGTTTCGAGATTTAAGGAGTATATAACACTTTACCTTATTAATATTCCTATTCAGTAAGAGTATACGTTTTTTTAAATAATAAATACACCAATAGTCCTGTTACCTTATAATGCGACACGCGCGAGAAAACATATGCAAAATAACTGGTTGAGAATAAAATGAGGACTGGGTGTAGAAAGAGTAATTTAAACTGGAGAAGGATGAAGCGGTGGACAGGCAACCCCCAGCCCCTAGCAGCACCCACCACCTTGCGCATTTCCTTGTCCACCGGTACCCGCTAAACCACCAGCACTCGTTGGCGAATGCTGTGGTCCGATCTTTATGCCGTTTGCCTAAACAGAATCGTAACTTCCTCGTTAGTAATAATCAAACAGAATTCCATTACAATTGCATTTCGGTTATTATGACTCATCTTACCTCGTTATTAATGTCAAATACACCCTCTTGAATTTTCCCGTAAATTACTTTTGCTGTGTTAATAAATGCTTCCTCTACATTGATTGCTGTCTTTGCACTGGTTTCCATAAAAACAAGTCCATGTTCTCTTGCAAAATCTGCGCCTTCTTCTTTCCTCACTTCGCGTCTATTTTCCAGATCACTTTTATTACCGATTAACATGATTACCATATTAGAATTCGAATGTTGCCGTGCATCGTCTAACCAAGTTGCCAAGTGAGTAAATGTTTCCCTTCGTGTAATATCGTACACTAGCAAAGCTCCCGCTGCTCCACGATAGTACGAACGCGTAATAGAACGGAATGCCTCTTGACCTGCCTACAAAATCATGATAATCCTGTTAACTGCTTATTCTATTGAAATTGTTTGTCATCTATATTATACATAATACTTTGTAAGCTCTAATAAACAAATTAAAGTTTTATATAACAAATTAATAATTACAGTATCCCAAATTTGGAGCTTGATTTGCTTTCCATCAATTGTAATCATACGGGCACCAAACTCAACACCTATTGTTAGGTCGTGAACTGGCTGGAATCTCTTGTCCGTAAATTGAAGAAGAAGACATGATTTGCCAACCCCTATTTAAACAGCAAAAAGTAAAAATTGTTATATTTTTAATCTTTAAGCCATAGTGTTTAATATAGTTAACTTTTATAAAACAAAAACAAAAGGATTATGCATAACGTAATGTCTTTTCAAGTCTAGGAAACATTCCAAAAAAAAATAGTTCAAGAGACCACCATGTCATTACGTCACAATCTTTTGCTATTGTTAAAGACTTAATATAATAAGCAAAATATATGTTAAAAAAATAAGATCAAGCTGAAAAATATTAAAAACATTCTCCAGAGAAATCAATAAATATATATAAATATATACATGTGAAAGTATCCTTGAAAAAACAAACATCTGTTCAAATCATGTTTGACATTGACATACACACAGTACTTGTCTGTTTGTCTGTTTAAATACTGATTGGTATTAATAAAAAGTTCAAGGATGATTTGCGTTGACACGTTAAATGATCGCAGTAAACAATACTATAATATTGTGATAACCATATTTTTAACAAATCTACAATCGCGATTTCCAATAATTCAAATCTCAAAGACATAACACATATCCCGCGAGAAATTCGACATAAAATCTGCGATTAGAGTAAATAAACCAGCACGACATTTTTCAAGTTGACAGAATCGTCGTATAAAGAGATCATGCATGATTCATGATATTCATAAAAAAAATGTCCAATTTTTAGTGGTAAACATCATTGGGAAATATGCAGAATGCAAATTCTAGAATAACATTAAGATTTACGAATCAGGAAAATCATCGTACAAAGAAACGAAAACAATGGGTCCTGTCACGGTCGACGTAGTGGAGAACGTACCACTTTCACAACGTTCGCTTCTCGACGAGCATCGCGTAATTACCTGTATCCCCGATGATGATGTACTTGAAAAGGTACGCGTACGACATTTTCAAAATTACGTAGTTAACGAAGAAGTACTCGTACGGGCTGCAAATATATTAGAAAACAGAACTTCACTTTTTTGACTGTCTTATCTCTTCTGCTTCAACATGACGTCACTAAATCGCCTCGGCAGTCCTCGGAGTTTTTCGTATTATTCGTAATCAGTTCGGATTTCCGATATCGCGCTGCCGTCGCTTCAGTCATTGACGTATTTCGCATTAGCCATGTTCCAAAACATGACAATTTCTGTCTTATAACAAGACACCATTTAAAAGACCTGCTATAATTTCGAAAGTATGAAATTCAATTTTCAGCATAGAACTTTCCTGTATTTTCATATTTATTCTTTGATTAACATTACCCTACAAAACACACACTTTATGGTAGATCTATAGTTCGCCCCATGATAGTGGAAGTTCATTGTAAAGGGAGCTTGTTATGTGATCGAAATTTCATTTGAGAATAGCGTAAAGCTGGATCTACATGTTCATACATTCACAAATACTCGTAAATTACGTTGTTATTTTCTATTCTCCTTATAATAAATATTAATATTTAAGATTTATTGAAACGAAAGACATATTTTGAATGTAGTCCCTTTAACAAAGAACATGGTTCGATGTTATCGATAGACGGTGTTCTTTGGCCAATAAAATCTTTGTTCAGAACATTGCTGGACCAATTGGAGACCAGAAACGACCCTGGTGGCAAGTAAAAGTAGTAAACAAGTACGGTGCGAATCGAGCTATCGTCGACGTCGAAGCTGTCAAACATGGCGAGAATGTCTATCTCGAGTGCTGGTCAAAAATGTGAATAGAGGGTTCGGGTTGTGGTGAGATTCGTGAATCTCGGGTGTTCTCGTCGTAGGCAGAAGCCAGCGAGAGATGCGATCGGGAGTTAGATTGACAGGCCGAAAGTGAATGTGCCGAGTGAACGGCCCCGGCAGTTTTGCGGCCGGGATTAATCTAAGGGCATGCCAATTTGGGAACTATGGGTGCTCAACAGACCAAGGAAAGAATCGTTCCTACCGGCTCCACTGCGCGACAGACGCGCAAACAGCCAAGGAACCTTAAGGAATCGCGTCTCGTTGGCTCCAATATATTTACCGAACACAGCGGTAACTTCCTTTCCTTATTTTCATCCTACTCTTTCGCTTTTTATCTTCTATTTCTTTCTTACTTCCGCCCCTTTTTTCCGTCCTCTCTGTCATACTTGCTTTCCCTCACACTTGCATGCTCTCCCTTGCGCTCGTATACCATATTAAAACAGATCACAAATATAAATGTTTACAGAATATTTAAAAAAGAATCGTGATAAATTAACGCACAAGAAATACGAAGGTGAATGCAATTACTTGGTTATATAATTAATGTACACGTACATGTGTATGCGTGTATATGACTTTCATTAAATTAATAATTTGTTGTTAACTTTTAATGTGGCTCGATTGTAGAATAATTTAACGTTATAAATTAGTTCCCTGTTCTTATACTTAATCCGGTTGCTGTGTAAATTGGTTTCTATTGTTCCAAGATTAACTCTTTTTTTTTTTATATATATATATATATATATATCTATATTGTTAAAAATAAATTTTGGATTGCATATATCGTATGACATATTTATTTGCCAGTGAAGGAAATAATATGAACTATTACAATTATTGTATTAAAATGATTACTTTAAAGATTTATACTCAATAGTTTATTGGATTGTGTTATATGTAAATTTTATAACATAGTTTGTTATTCTTTAGACTATTTGTAGTCATTTATATAAAACAATACTATGATGTTGTGTAGAAGCTCTTTTACAAAGCAGACCGCTACCTCACATTCCGGCATTACCAGATGGTGATCCTCCCAGCGGTTCCGGCATTCAGCCAATTTCACAACAAGTGAATATTCAGCAACATGCTGGCGTTCCTTCTACAGGGCTTTTGGAAGCTGCGAACAGGTTAATTTTGACTACATTTGTTGAATATCTTATTTATAAATTCATTTCAATAGTTTCCCTTTGTGACATTCAGTATTGATATAAGGACAATGTATTAAATTATAATTATGCTGAAATTATATATGGTCTTTCAAGATTAAAAATGTGTCTTTATTGTCAATCATGAAACATTTTTATAGTCTGTATTTATTTGTTGCTAAATAATCGTTTTCAATAGTTTAAAGTAGCAATGTGTTTTAAAGAGTTGTAAACAAATATAATACTTTAAATTCAAAAGCATACTTGATATTTTACACTTAATATAATATATGAAAAGCTATGAATGGGACTTAAAATGTTTGCTAAAGGTGGACTAGTAAGGAAAACCTATTGGCACAGGAAGAGGATGATCCGCAGCTATTCGTTGCTCTGTATGATTTTCAAGCAGGTGGAGAAAATCAGCTCAGTCTTAAAAAAGGTAATTGTTCTTTGTGATAAAAAGTATTACTGAAAAGGATATGATGTTATGATTCTAAAATTATTTCAATATAGGAGAGCAAGTTCGTATTCTGAGTTATAACAAGAGTGGAGAATGGTGTGAAGCTCATTCGAGTACTGGTCAAGTGGGTTGGGTTCCATCAAATTATGTCACTCCAGTAAATTCTCTAGAGAAGCATTCTTGGTACCATGGAAGGATATCTAGGAATGCTGCTGAGTATCTCCTAAGTTCAGGTATAAACGGCAGTTTCCTGGTTCGCGAGTCTGAAAGTAGCCCGGGTCAACGCAGTATTTCTCTGAGATACGAGGGTAGAGTCTATCATTATAGAATTAATGAAGACAGTGAAGGAAAGGTATGATGTTGATTATGTATACTAACAATAGAGCAGTAGACTATAATCTTGAATACGATACCGAGAAACATAATTATTTTAGATGTATGTCACGAATGAAAGCAAATTTAACACTTTGGCGGAACTAGTCCATCATCATTCAATGCTTGCCGATGGTCTAATCACACAGTTACTTTATCCTGCACCAAAGCACAACAAACCTACCGTTTTTCCACTTAGTCCAGGTAAATATAAGATTACGAAAAAATTAGAAATTACTAAAGAAATTTATTTGTTCTATTAACATGGTGTGGTATTTTCACAGAACCGGATGAATGGGAAATCAATAGAACAGACATAGTCATGAGACATAAATTAGGAGGGGGACAATACGGGGATGTCTACGAAGCAGTATGGAAGAGGTACAATATGACCGTTGCCGTGAAGACGTTGAAGGTCAGTATTTTTGGTATTGTTCCTTCCTAAAGTTTCCAGTGCCTAAATATATCGAGTTTCGACAAAGAATCTGTGGTTGTTTTTATAGGAGGACACGATGGCCCTAAAAGACTTTTTAGAGGAGGCTGCAATCATGAAGGAGATGAAGCACAGGAATCTAGTTCAGTTGTTAGGTGTATGTACTCGCGAACCGCCTTTCTATATCATTACAGAATTTATGAGCAAAGGGAATTTGCTTGACTATCTGCGGAACGAAAGCAAACATCAAATCAACGCTGTCGTTTTGATGCATATGGCGACACAGATCGCCAGTGGCATGAGTTACCTGGAAAGCAGAAATTTCATTCACAGGTATAGTATTTGAAATTTTTTTGGTAAACACAAAACTGCTTCCATGTTGCTTATACCCCTCCACAGATTGCTACAGAAATAAAATGTTTTCATGAATAGCATTTGTCTATTTTAATAATGTAATTTCTGTTCACTGATATCTATACATATATGAGACAAGTATAAATTATATAAAAATTAAAATATTTCCTTTGAAAGTAGTTGTTTTTAGGATATAATTTTTGTCATCATAAGAGTCACTGAAAGATAAGTAATGATTGATTATAGTATCGATAGTGATACCTATTATACATAAAAAAAAAAATACATTCGTTAGTTAGGAGAAATTTTTTAAATTTCATCGCCCTCTCTTAAGAAACGAGTTCGCGTTAACATCGCGACTTTCGAAACAGAGATCTAGCGGCTCGAAACTGCCTAGTGGGTGAAAATCATCTGGTGAAGGTCGCAGACTTTGGCTTGGCTCGATTGATGAGAGACGATACATACACGGCTCATGCTGGAGCGAAATTTCCTATAAAATGGACTGCTCCAGAGGGATTGGCTTACAATAAATTTTCTACAAAGGTAACATAACATTCTATTTCCTCTACCTTATAATATTGTTCTTAGTTGATTATCATAAACATACATACTTTCTTTTATAGCCTATACATGTATTTACATTTTTGTTTTATAGTCTGATGTATGGGCATTTGGCATCTTGTTGTGGGAAATAGCAACCTACGGCATGTCTCCATATCCTGGCGTCGATTTGACGGACGTTTATCACATGTTGGAGAAAGGCTATAGAATGGAGTGTCCTCCTGGATGTCCACCGAAAGTTTATGAACTAATGCGCCAATGCTGGCAGTGGTCTGCGGCTGACCGGCCTACATTTAAAGAGATCCATCACTCCCTTGAAAATATGTTCCAGGAATCCAGTATTACCGAAGGTAAAATACTCTGAGTTTTAACATAAATGTTTATAATAATTTTAATAAAACAAAAAGTCTTATTGTGATAAGGATTTAGACTAAAATACGACCTGCGATCTTAAATTATTTTTGTAACATTTTTTTATTGCAGAAGTGGAAAAACAGCTTCAAGGTGGAGGAGAGATTCCCTTACTTTCGTATAAAAAATCTCAAACTGGTAGTACTGGAAATATTCATGGACTTGTTCTTGTTTCTGAACCACTGCCTTCTTCAGGTAAACGCATAGGAAATTTGTAAAATAGTATTATTTTATCGTTATTTTTATTTAAATTTATTTTATTCCTTAAAGTAATTTGGTTTCTGATGGTTAGAATAATAATTCCTTGACCAATTTGTTGTAGATACTACTAGCTCCATAACAAAACTGAGTACTTTTACGGGTGGTTTGTCGAGTAAGAATAACAGTAACATCGTACAGATGAGACGTTCTACGAATAAAAAGGGAAAACAAGCTCCAGCACCTCCGAAAAGAACAAGGTATGATATTTTTTTTCGTATATTTATTTCGATCGAGGTTTCAATTAATCATAGTGTCGACAAATGTTGGACATATAATTTTAACGTTGATTTAACGATTGTG